GCCTTTCCCTGGTGTCATCTTCTCTTCCCTGGCTCATTTTCGAGCTGCGGTGGCGGGGTGCCGAGCAGGGCCACGAGGCCTCGGTCCTGCTTGATGCTTTTCGGAGTTCTTGTCGGGTAAAAGGAGCCTTGAGCAGGGTGGTGGAAGGTGATGTTTAAGGACAGCAGGACCTTCTGCTCGCCTTTCCCCTCTAGTCCTCCAGCACCCAGAGTTGCTCTCTGGAGGGTGTGAGAAGGGACGCCCCTCTCCTGGTATTTGGATCTGCATAGAGACCTTTTAAATGCTGAATAGTGCTTGGGAAATCAAGGAGCGTAGTTTTGGTGGTCATCGGATTTATTGGAGCTATAAACTTGTGTGCTGTCTGTTGCTGTTCAGAGGAGTTTCCAGCTGGTGTGTTTTATCAAAGATCGTCTGTAGTGGGTTTACTATAAACTAACAGTAATTCTCTGATCCACAATTAAAAAAAAAAATTAAAAAATGAAAAATTAAAAAAGACCAAATGTCTTTAATCCTAATGTTCTAGCAGTTGGTTGTAGTTACCATGTCAGAAGCAAATGCCGTGGAACAGACTGTGCTGTTGTCTTCAGCGTGGAGCAGATGCTACTGACTGTTCCCAAAAGAAATACTTAATCAAGAATCCGGTTTAAACACGAGCCGCTTTCTTCACTATGGGCTGAAAACCAGGTATTGCCTCAGGTATTGCCTCAGCAACTCAAATGTAGTTTGAATTAACTCATGGAAGGTGGTAGAAAAACTAGTGTCGCGCAGTGCCCACTGGCACGTTGGGTTGTGTTTTGGGGCTGACAACATCTGCCCTGAGTGTTCGTTGAGAGTTGAGTTGATGGGAGGAGAGAGCGTGTCCTGTCAGCAGGTGACTCTGCAGGCCCCAAAGTAATCTCCAGGTGCTGGAAGAGGCCACAGCTCTGCACAGACGTGTCCCGTTCCTTGGGAGTGGCTGGGGGCTTGGTGGCAGGTCCTGCTGGTGACTGCTGTACCCCAGTGGCACAGGCTTGAGCTTCACTGGTTTATGTTGATCTACGGGATTAGTGGGCAGAGCAGGTGATTGTCCCCTCTGGAGAGGAGGGGAGTGCGACTGCCGCTGTCCCCTGTGACTGCAGATGGTGAGATGTGATTATCATCATTGCACCAGGAAGAGCTTGCCCTGTGCCTGGAAGTCTCTGTTCCCAGTGAGTCTGTGACAATTATGTCGGAGGAGTTAGGGTGGATGGCTCAGAGATGTGTCTCCTGAAGTTCTGCAGATCTTGTCAGGCCCGACGGGTGGGAGACAGCGGGTGGTCTGCGCAGAGCACCCACGGGGGAGCACCTCGCCGCGGCCAGCGTTTGTGTCCCATCGAGCTGGTGCCCACTGTAATAACACGGACAGTTTGCTGCTCTTGCCCCAGGGTTTTTAGATTCTGGAGGGCTCCGGATGTAGTTTATTTTGTACCGAAGAGCTGATGTCTGTCTGCGGAGTCGCGGTTCGCTGAGCTGCAGAGAGCTGGCCGGCAGTCACGCTGCCCTGCGCCGCTGCTCAGCGGAGGCAGCTCCCGTCCCTCTTCCAGTTTTCTCTGCCTCTCTGAATGGGAGTTAAACCCGGTGGTTTTGTTCTCTCCTCTCTCTTTAGATGAGTCAGACTACCAGACTGAGTACGAGGAAGAAATTCTGGACAGCCAGAAGGATGATTATATCGATTTCATAAGCAACCAGGCTGAAGAAGACTCTGACTCGGTACGGACTGCCCTGGAAACAGGATTTTTGGTGTCACTGCTGAGTCCCGTGTGAGCGGTGGGTGTGAGGTGGAGGGTGTCAGCAGGGACATCGAGAGAAGCACGTGGGGGGAGTTGCTGAAGACTGGGTGAAAATGAGTTTGCTTCTTGTGTAGTACAGACACTAAAGGACGCGCGCTCACCCTGTCAGTCACCTGCGGTGGCACTGAGTGTGGCAAAGTCTGCCACAGGTAAAACCTGGCCATGCAGCTCCGTGAGGTGGGTCAGGGCTGGAGAGCGAATGGCGTGAGGAGAGGCTGAGGGAGCTGCTTCCTCTTGCTCGGAGGAGAGGAGGCGAAGAGAGGATCTGGCTGGTGCTGCCTGCTGGGCGGTTGTGGTGAAGACAGCAGCAAAAAGACAGGAGGGGACAGGCACAGCACTGACAGAGATCCTGTCCAGGTACAGGAGGAAGCATTTCCCAGTTAGGGTGGTTGAGGACTGCGACGGGCTGTGCAGGGAGGTGATGGAAACTCCATCCTTGCAGATACTTGAAAATGAAGTGGGTGCTCCAGGGAAGAACCAGGTCTAGTATTAGTGTTACCTGGCTAAAAGCAGAAAATTGCATTCTACCCTCCCGAGATCCCTTCCACCCCAAGCTCTGTGGCACATCAGGTCCACCCTGAGGAGAAGCTGCGCTGAGGCCAGACTGTGGGTTGTATCCCTGCTGCTCTTACTCCAGCTAGAGAAAAAGGTGAAGCTGCCTGTCGTGTTGGATGTGAACAGTGTCTCAGTTGGAGCGTACGAGCGGTTTGGGCAGGTGCCCACAGGAGGGTGTGAGGTGACTTTGGTGCTTTGTGTGAGGAGCTGGAGTGATGGCAGAAAGATTCTGTCTGCTTGGCTGATCTCCAGTGGGTAGTGGTCAGTGGGCAAAGAAGAGGTGGACAGGAAGAGGTCATATCTTACACAGCTTAGAGAGGATGCTGAAGAATGAATTTGTGCTTACTTATTTATTTATTCTCCTTCAGGATGAAGACATGCAGATAAGAAAGCGCAGGAATGTCCCTGGTGTGGAAAGCCAGGCCAGCAGCACGGGAGAGCCCGGCTAGCGCTCAGTGACCTTGCTGGCTGAGAGCTACATCCCATCTGCACTGACAGCAGCTGTACTTATTTATAAAATATTCTTTAAAAGCCAAAACAACGTTTAGTTGAAATTAAGCTTTCATCCTTCTCCAGACGGGACGTGGGGCATTCAGCTGCCAGCACTAAGCGCAGGTATCTCGCCCAAGTCCCTTTGGACCTCCCGTGATGGGTGGCTGCCGCGTGTGTGCTCTCATACTGGTGCCAGTAAGAGCAACTGATTATTAAACACTCTGGGACTGGCAGAGGGGTAAATGTGCTGGGAACGTGCAGTTAAAAGCTGCCTTGATTTTTGCTGCTGTATGTTCTAGTCACTGTTCTTACTGTGGAGGTCCAAAGAATGACGAAAGGGCTCTGAGCAGCAGCACTAGAGAGAGGGAGGGGTTTGTGGGTTGCAGCTTTCTTTTCGTATGAATCAGGTAACTGTAATTAACTCCTCGGTGACTTTCAACCATATACGTGCGAACAGGGCTCTGACAGGAGAAAGTCTGAATGTATTTCACTTGAAATCTAAACCTAAGAAATCAATTAATGTGAACGCTAACTATAGAGCCTGTATCCTCAAGCCATCAGCAGAACATTTACTGACGGATCATGGAGCTGACACTTGCTGGGCAACTCTGGAATCACTTCTTGCCCGTTGAAATAAAGGTGTTCTGCTGGACTGAAATGTCTGCACGGTGCTTTGTGTTGGGTCCCACAAAGAGAAAGGTGTCGACAAGTAAGACCCCAACTTCACTCTGCTTGTATCAGACTCGCAAAGAAATGTGTGCGGTTTTCAGTTCCTCAGCCCGGCAGGAGACACTCGCTGTATTGTCGAGCATTGGAAAGAAACCTCCAGTGCTCTGCCCCCTCAGGGCTGCAGCAGTCGATGCGACTTGGACCGTGTTCTGAACTCCCCCGGTGCTTGCTCTTCTTGTCTCATGTCTGTTGTTGCCGATAGCTCTACTTGGCTGGAGAATCAAACTAATTCTCGCTTTGTGCAAACTCTTCTGCTCGGCGCTAGCTCTAGGTGCTGTTACCTTGAGGGGATTTGTCAGCTCACCCCGGCACTGAAGACGCTTCTTCAAGCTGCCTCCTTTGCTGAGCTGTCCCGGCCCTCTGATCTGAAGTGTGTCAGGAGCCAGCGGTGACGCCTCCAGGCATGACCAGAGCTCAGCAGCACAACTGCGGGACCAGAAACGTGTTTGGTGACACCACTGAGGACTGTGGTGGTTGTAAATGCTGTGACGTGTGACCCCTCCCATGTGCTGGCTCAGGCTCTCCCTCTCTACCTGCTCTGCATCATGTTTTCCTCCACCACATCCGTGAACGTGCAGCCTTTACCCAGGGAGGCTGTTCCTTCAACACAAAACAATATTTCCAAGTGCCAGAGCTTCAGGTCAGTGCGTTGTTCCCAGCCCTTGGTGAGAGCACCCAGCCTGGCTGCACTTCCACCTGGCCCCAGGCCTGGCAGAAGCAATGGAAGTGATCAGAAAGTTTCCTTGCGGGGTTTGTCCGGGTGTCTGGTGCAGGTTTTGGTTAAGGCAATTGTATGGAAAATATTGTGTTTGTTGGAGGGTGTTCCCTGCTATCGAATAGAATTAATTCTTGCAAAGAAAAGTTAAAAATGGTTTTGGAGTGGAGGCAGAGCAGCCAGGGGCTCCTGTGAAGGCACAGGCTGCCCGTTGAGCTGGAAAGATTTAATTTCTGTGGCGGTTGGTTACAGGGTGGTGTTGGTGCCTGTTGCAGGGAGGGCTCGTGAGCTGGGGACTGGGAGCGTCCACCCTCAGCTCCCTCCTTGGCTTCTGCAGAGCTGCTCTAAGCCAACACCAGAGGAGCACGTCGCGCCCCGCAGCGCAGTTTAAAGCTTTGTTTTTGTGGTGAGGGGATGCAAACCAAGTGTGGGTTCCATCCAGGTCTGTGTTTATTGGTGGTGACGGTGCAGGAACCTTTCCCTGGGAAATGAGGAATAGGGCTAATTCTGGAGATGACCGAGGTCTTCTGGTTGCCCTTACCCAGCCCGTGCCAGCGGTCTTCATCCTTCAGAGGATACATTTAAACACAACAGGGCCTTCAGCAGAGGTTGGATGACACCTGACGATGGAGGGATTGTCGGTTGTCAGACCCCTGCTTGGTGCTTCCCATAGCTGCGACCGATTCTGCCGGTTCCCTTTGCCCCGGCTGCCGGGCAGCACCACGGGCTGGTTTCCAGACAGATGAGGCTTTGTCAGCCTGAACCCAGCTCTTCTTGGATTGCTCTGGGCTGTTCTAGGAGAGCTCTTCCCTGTGTTCAAACAGGTAATTAATTTCCAATCTGTGTGTTCTAACTACGCTTCCTGGCAGCCAGACTTGCTCCTGGAGCCTGGGTGGGAGCCGCTGGGCTTGTGCCTGCATAGGTTGAAGAAGTCTCAGAAAAGAGAAAAAGCCTGGGCTTGGGGTTGTGCTAATTAAAGCCTCTGTATTTGCTTTGTGCCCTGTTCCACGGGGAGATGGCACTTAATTTAGCTGTTCCAAAACAGAAGATAAACCTTTGATGTGAGACTGAAAGTCTCTTCTAAATAATTCATCACAACTTTCCTCCCTAGCTGCGTTCTCCATAGCTCAGCCCTGGACATTAAAACAATCTTTCTTTCTCTGCAGAACAATGTAAAACAATTAGAGTACAACTTTAAAAGCAAAATTGTTTTTCCAGTTTGTTTTGCTGCTGGCTGGGGTCTCCCCAGCTGCCTGGTCGGGCAATGCAGGGTCTTACCGGTGGCTCAGCCCCATCCTGCACTGACACCCTGGTGCATCCCGATGATCCTTCACGCCTGGAGGTTTTGAACAGTCCCTGCCCACTTGGACACCCGACACAGTGCTGGGTCACCCCTTCACAGCCCAGACTCTACAGCGACAGTCCCGTTGCTGTTTTGCTGGAAACGCAGCAGGAGAAGAGTGGTTTGGAAGAAGCCAAGTCTGCCTGTGTTGGCTGTCCTGGCCCAGGCCACCGTCCTGCCGGGCTGTGCTGGCCCACTGGGTGCTGGCTTTGGATGGAAACCTGCTGCCCTTCGTGTGATTTCTTCATGAGTTTGTGGTACCCTCCAGTAAGTACAGTCTGACCAGAAGCTGGACGAATCTGGCCTTGCTAGAGGAGACTAAACAGCTGCTGAAGCCTGAAGGTTTCATCTCAGGAAGAGGACACAGAGCATCTTCCCACAGCAAGCCTGGTGGCAGCCACCACCGAACATGAAGCAGCAGGATCAGGCTGAGGTCTGGAGGAACCGCAACCAGGAGCAGTAGCTGCAGTGGGAAAGGTTCCCTTCAAGGGCTTTGACTTGGCACATGTGATGCTTGCCAGCTGCTGGGGGAGTAAAGCTTGGAATGAGCTTTCAGAAACACATCCTGGTGATGGAGTCAAGCCCAGTCCTGCTCGGTGGCCTGGGCTGACCCCTCCAAGCAGCTGGTGGGGAGAAACAGGGGGAGAAACACCCATGGGTGCAGCCTGTGCTGCACGGGGGCTCTGCCAGTGAGCATGGCTGCTGGGAATCCACAGAGGAGGGAGGGTGTTTCGGGGAAATTTGTTTGCAACCCCCAGCCTCAGACCCTGCAGGGATGGGCCGAAAGCGCAGCCACCACCCGCGCCTGGCGAGGGGATGCAGTGGCCGGGCTGTGCCGACATCCCACGCCAGGGAGCGGTGACACTCCTGTCCCCACAGGGCAGCACCTTGGAGCCTGCAAATGGCTCGGTGCAAGTAATAAACTTTTATTTGATTGCTTCATTAAAGTGGCCTCATGAGCTCTTGAGCTCTCAGAGACAGCTCTGCAGGGGTTTGGGAAGAAGAAGGAGCCGCTTTTGCCTGCCAGGCAGCTGGAAGCGCTTGCCCAAAATCTCCGAGATGCCTCATCCAGGCAGGGCGAGAGCTTTTCTCCCTTGCCATGTGGCCGGGGCTTATGCACGGCTGTTTGCGACGGCTCCTGCTGCTGCTTCTTGTGTTTCTCGCCCTGTGCAGCGCTGCTTGTGGTGATGCAGCCCCTGCGGGTTTTGCTCCGCAGGCAGGAGCAGCCGGGGCTGCGGCGGGACCCTGCGAAGCTCCTTCCCTGGCAGACGTCATTCTTGCTGCGTGTTGTTCCAAAATTAATCTCATCTTATTTACTTGTGCTCCCCTGACCTCCTCCGACGTGTGATTTTCCTTGCGTGCCGCCTGAGGACTGTGTTTAAGCTGTTAAGATGCGGGGGCTTTACTGCGCCTCTGGGTTTAATTTACTGTTGCTGTGAGTAAGAGCTGGTAATAAAATCCGCAAACGAGAAACGCAGCAAATATTTCCCTCTCCCGCAGGTGCTCTGCAAGGCTGGACGCTGCTGCTCACCATCCTGAGGGTGAAAGGCCGAAAGGCGGCCGGGGCAGGAGGTGTTGGGGTTATTCAGATGTTGGTTGTTTGATGAATGTGATTTTTGTGATGTGGCTTTTGCCGGTCCCGGGACGCACACTGTCCCTAGCTCCCCCTTCCCAGTTTGATGATTCCTCTGCTGTTGGGTCTGCTGAGGTTTGTGTCCAGGCTCTTTGGCCCCATCCCCTCCTCAGGTCACGGAGGGTCTGACCCCGGCTGTCCTGCAGAGCTTTAATTTAGGCTTTGGTGTAGATAGTTCGGTGAAAGGTGCCAGGAGCTGGCAGGGCAGCCACGCCTGTGTCCTGTGCCTGGGAGCTTCCTGCAGGCACTGGGAGCAAAAATTGGGAAATGCTGGCATGTCCGGCTCACCACGGCCTGGGGACATCCATGTGGGGCAAGTCACCGCTGCCAAATCCTCTTCCCTTATTGAAACTGAGGCTTTTAGGGGAAACTATGACACTAGTAGAAGCAATACAAGTATTTGCCTGTTGTTTAAAAAATAAGAAGAAAAAGCAAAAGCCAAGTGTATTACTGTTCGTCCTGGCTTTAGAAGTGAATGTACCATAAATCTATATAATTGTGTGTCAGGATGGTTCCTGGGGACACGCTGCAGGAGCAGCCCTGAGCA